TTTGACCTTCATGTTCTTTTAACCGTTCACCTATTATAGTTAAACTTTCACCTAACAATTTTAAATGAGCTGCTGTGTCTATGGGTTCAATACTCGATAGAGGAATTATTTTGCTATTTTGTGCATTTGTACTTGGATACGTTTGAGAAGGTACTTCATTAGTAGTTATATGAGCAGAATTATTACCATTGTTTGTTGTATAATTTTTTTTCTTTTTTACAATATTATTAGTTTCACTATTATTAAGATCTTTTATTAAGGATTTACTAACTTCTGCCAGCTTCTTAGTTCGACTTGTTGTCGCTCGATTAAAAAATGCCGAATTTAAACTATGTTTTGCTGATAGTCCCAATTTTGCATGCTCCATAGTAATCCTTGCCTTGCCAGCTTCTAGTTTTGCTCTTCTGCGCCATGTATTTTTCTCTTTATTGGATACATTTGCCCATAATTCACCTAGCCGTCTAGCAGTATTCGAAAAATCTGCAATTTTAAATTCTTCATTACAAAATTATAACAAACCAAAAATAAAGATCTGCATTATTACCTAAATCTTGATTTTTACTAAACTTTGATGTTTTTCTAAATTCACGTGCCCACATACTATAGGCTGTATAACGCGACTTTCCTTTATCCTTGCGCTCCAATTTCCTTGTTATAACTTTTCCATCTTGCAGGAATTTTCTTTTGTTTGACTTTTCGGTCATATAAAGACTTTGACGTACTTTTGAATCGTGATTATTTGCGTGTTCCAAAGATTCTGCTTCAACACCTTCTACTAAATCAGCCACAAGTTCATCCAATTCATCTTCCGAATCTGGAGCAACAAGTGCATTTTCTAAAGGCACATCCGATAATTGTTCGTCATTTGAATCAGATTCATTTCCATCATTATCATCTGCCACGTTGTCCGTATCATTATTTTTTTTGCGACCGTCCTTAGGTGGCCTACCACGTAAACCACTACGTAATGGTTTTGGCGCTCGTTTTGGTTTCTTTTCAAGTTCATCTGGTGATTGAAAATCAAGTAGTTTGGAAGATTTCTTTCTCACACGTCCACTGCGCGATATTCCCGCTGTTACTGAATCTAATAAGTTAAATGCCTTAATTGAATACTATTATTTATTTATAAACAATTAATACCTCCTTGAGATGCATTCACAGTTGGCGGAGTTTCCATTTTTGTTTTTTATTATTTTTATTGCCTTTTTTGATTTGTTTTAACTATATTCTTTACAATAAAAGAAAATTGAGAAAATAACAAAAACCTTTTTGATGCAATAGACAACAGAGTTGCATTTTACTCGCGATTTGTGAAACGCTACCGAAGAGAAGACCAAAAATAATTTACATAGTAAATATGATAAGTTTCAATTGTTTTATAATTGTTAATGTATAAAACTAACATATTTAATAAATACTAACCTAATATATAAACAAAAAATCTTAAACACAATAATATTGCATAATATATCGTTAATGAGAATTTATTAATAATAGCGTCTTTTTAAAAATTCCCTCAGATAAAGTGTGCAACACTGTTGTTAATATTAGTAGTTTTTGTTTTTGGCGCATTTCCGCATCAAAGATATAACAAATTTGTTTGTGTTCTTTGTGTTTTTATGTTTATAATTACATATCAACAATGATTAGAAAAATATATTATTTGTAATATATAAAAATAATGATATAATAGAACATATATTGATATATTAAATAGAAAAAACGATTTCTTTATAATGTGAAAATAGAAAAGCAGAAGTAATAATACATAACAAAAAATAATTTTAAGAAACAATGACAAACCAAATAACTAGAACTGCACTCTCTGAAATACCCAGCAGATTAGAAGCACTGCGGGTAGCAACAACGCCTACAAACACTCATAGGCGTAGTACAGAGGAATACAATGGAAATGTTTACAACCCAGTAACTCTTTTGGACAACGCAACAAATGTTGCATTATCTGAAGAATATATGGTCTCACCACTTCACTCGCCAGATGAACTTGTAATACGTCAACGTGGACGACGTAGTTTTACGACATGGTCTCCAGATCAACCAGTGTCCATGCAAGCTTATAGCCCCTTTCAGCGCACACCAACAAAAATGCCTCTTACGACTAGTATGATATTACGTAGTTCGCCACGTAAACGCTTAACAATGGGTACTTTACCGTCAGATTCAATACCATCATCACCTACAAAGAACTATTTTTGGGCAGATCAACCAATAATAAAGAAGTTACGAATAGAAAGTGATGAACGTCCAATTGCTCAGCTCAATAAGGACGTACCATTAAAAACAGTGTTGGAAGGATTCTCACATCAACAACTTATTGATTTGATTGTTGATGGTGTGGTTGCAGGAAATAAACATTTAGAAGATAAATTGCGTTCACACTTACCGATACCAGATATAATGTAAGTAATTTTAAATTTAGTTCATACTAAAACTAATCGTTGTTATTTATAGTCCAATGGAGCGGGAGCTATTACATATTAAACGAAATATTTTTAGATCCCTGCCAACGTCACGTCTTTGTAAAAAAACTGATAGTACATCATATGGGAGAGCGGCAGTTCATTTGCTTGAATTTAAGCGCATATTACACTCACACACAAAGCAATTGTATAATTCAGCCCATTGGGATGCATTGCTCGATTATATTATAATAGCTTGGCCCTGTGTTCGCGAGACTCCTATTTGGGATAGTGCTACGCATAATTCAGTGCGAAAGCAGTGTTTTAAACTATTATCATGTCATTGTATGGCAGCAGTTAAATATGGAGGCTTGCGTTTGGGCATTGATCGTCTGTTATTTCTACAAAAAAATCTTAGTGGTTGGATGCGAGACTATGAAGATGTTAACTCTTGTTTAAGTGCAGTAAATAAGATGCTCAATAATGGCTAGTAAAAGTTGCATTTTTAGATGCTTTTAAAGTAAATTTTAGTTCTTTTGCAATTGTTTTCCTCAATACATTGTACCTTATTATTTTATTATAGAATATTTATAACATGCCATATTATAAGTTATAAAAATTTTTAATACTCAACGCTAATGGAGTTAGGTAACTAACTCCAAACAAATAACATTTTTAACTAAAACAGGTTGTAATACTAAGAATTGAGGATTTTATACAAAAAAGTTTTAAAATAAAATTTAAAGACAATTTATTTAATATCTAATATAATGCAAAATAAAAATGTGCAAATAAAAATTTAAATATATTTGTAATATAGATAAAATATTACTTCTGAAGACTCTGCAATGTATTAATTAAATTAATTTAGTTTAAATAATTAAAAGAACTTAATTTACATTTAATTAACAATTAATTTTAATTATAAAGTATGCACAAATTATATGTATTAGGCATCAATGTAAGAAAAGTTTTTCGATGTCTTACCTATATATATTTATATACGTTCTAAAGCATTAAAACCATTAAAACCAAATATGAAACACAAAATAGTAAAATGTACAAATTTGTAGAATTTTATTTAAGTACTTTACAATATAAATCGATTACATATTCTCTTATTATGAAACATTCATTAAAATAAATTTAGTAATACTAAAATATGACTAAAAACACTCAAAATCATTTTTCATATGTATTTCAACTTCCATGTCTATGCCTAGTAACAACAATAATGAAAAAAGCCAGCACCAATAGAATCCACTGATTATTATGCACTGACATCTTCATAGCTCCAGATATGTGTCGCCCTGCAAAGAAATAATATATTTAGTAAGTTTATTATGTATAAGTTACTTAAGTGATTGTTTTTATATATAACTTATAATTAAACTTAAACTTAATGTAACGCTTCATATGCAAAATATTTTTAATCTAAATGTATAAAATTTAATATAGAAATCTTATTTAAATTGCGTTGTGATATCGTTTTTGTAATTTCGAATGTAAAAGATAAACTGAAAAATATAATTTATTATATTATCTGAAGTATAAGCTGCTATAATTATGTTAATTATAAAAAAATACCAACTGTTGATCCTTTAATTGCTTTATCAATTTAAGACAATGCATTAATTATGTAAAAAAAAGACATATAAGTAATATTTAATTTAAAATAATATTGTAGAAATATTGGTTTTGATATATTTTTAAAACATGAAACTGTTTGTTAATCATTTTTAAAAAATAAAATATTTTTTATTACAAGAATTCAACCTTTTCGATAAAACTTAGTTGAAAGCACATAATAGCAATAATATATTACTTTAATATATTTTATAAAAAAGTATTTGTAAACATAATTCAATATTCATAAGTTAAATTTTTCAATATTATTTTACTTAAATTTACAAAACATAATTTCATAAATAAAACAATAAAATGTATCGTTAAACAATTATTTATTATATTAGAGCCAAATTTTTTATTTCATTCAAAATGCGCTCGGCCCACGCATCGAGCAAACACGAAACTTCATCTTTCACTTAGTGTGTTTGGGTAACTATAAAAAGCTATAAATTTCCAACAAATAACTTCATTTGTATATAAGAAAATTTAATAAACTATGAGAACCTCAAAAACTTTAAAATCTTAAATGGGCGCAGTGAGTTCTTTTTAAAATTTGGATGATAAAATATAAAGAATTTTTGCTTTTGCACATCTGCACGTGATTTGGTATATCGAAAAATAATAAACCATTTCTTGAGACCCTCACATATTTGATATTAAACATATTACCAATTAATGTTCAACGTAAAATATTTATAAATTTTTTCTTAAACAAAAGGTGTTAATTGGTCAATAAAATATTTTTCATATTTTTGAATTTAATTTTTTTAGGAACAAAGTTATGTTAATTAGCGTAAGAGTGTTAAAACTATTTAATGTGCACTTTAAGTGATTTATTTATGGTTATATCATTATATCACTTGTACTCAGCATGAATAAATCAATGATTTAAATAAAAAAATTATTTACAAAATTTGTTGCACAATTATTTTTACTGAGGTTTAGAATATAATACATTTTTCATATACTTTATAATATAACTATATGTAACTATTCAATGTACATTTTAACCCGATTAAAGTGGTAACATGTTTTTTATTATTATAATTATATTTGGCAAAAGTATGAAAATTTAACTTTTTTGTATAACTATATATAATATTCAGTTTTTCCAACAATGATATGTAGGTTTCATTTAACAAATATATATATATATGTAGTGCTACTATTCTAATTCCTTTAGAATTTTATAATATATAGCGACCTTTAATAATAACATTGCATACTACTTGGTGTTATTCTATTGAATAATAATTCCTAAATTGAATATAGTATAATTTCATATGTTGTAAACATTTTGTATAGATCTAATACAGTGAAATACCAACTTTTTTATAAACTAAAACACCGACTTCCCGTACCATACATTTATCATATTTTGCTTTATGATCTTATAAATCTTCCTCCAGTTTTAATTTCAAGATTTACGCAATGAAAGAACAGTCATCAACTAAAAGAATTTTTGGTGCCAGGAATGTCCGGGTTTACGTCTTAGAATTACTTATTTACACATACCATCAATTCCCGCTTTCCAATCCCAACAGGAACAATATTAGCAGATCTAATCGGCTTCTGATTTATTTAAACTTTCTAACATTTTATTCATATTATTTTCTGTATATTATGAAGAATCAGGGAGGTTACTCTTCTTCTTTTTTTTTTGATTTTATTGTATTATATTATTTTTAGAATAATTTTTAAACTTTTCTAACGCAATGAGAAGATGTATGCATTATCGCTACTTTAACAACCGCTCTATTGAATTATGAAAATGAGTTATTTAGGTGATTATACAGAAGTATAGTTTGAAGCCCAGCAAATCTTCCTGACGGAGTACATATTGCGTTTATTTTAAGAGAGTGTATAATCATATTTAACAATATATGTACAATTTTTAAAAAGTTGTATCGTGTGATTTTCAACCGTAATAGGCATTAACCACCACAACAAGCTATTCTCGTTTAAGGCGTATAACAGATCCTACTTAAAAACTACTTAAATAGGACTTGCAATAAGAACTGATCCAATCAGATAAAACTTAGATTTTCTGTTATTTGAATTGGTTTTTGTCAGGTAAATAAAATGGAAATAGGTAAATGTAGAGATTTATAAATGAAATGATTAAGTTAAGGTACGTCTATTTCTAATAAAATAAAATTAGATCACTTATATCATATTCTACAACTTATTTTTAAAATTATATACAATTTGTGCGAAATTTTTATTATATTTTATAATATATCTTTTGTTTTCATAAAAAATTTAAACATAAAATATTTAAAACTTACTAAAATATTATTTTATTATATAGGTATATTTTAAATATATCAAAAAACCTGACTATACAGAATGGTGTAAAATAATTTGAAAACGCTTGAAGAGCAAGACTATTACTCCATTTCAAGAACATAAGTATGTAAAACGGATCACTTACTTATTGAAAAAAGTTAATTTTGCACTAAACTTAATCTAATCTTAATTGAACGTTGAACCGGGATGTTTTGCGTTTGTAAAACGATCAAAACTTTAAGGTTTTAAACTATCAAACAAAATATTTGCTTAATGGATATTTAGTTTTAGATTGTTTCCTGATATTTTATTTGATTTTAACAACTATGACATTTTATTAATAGAATTTAAATATTTAAATCAATATTAGTAATCATAATACATAATTAAATTCAATCACTTTACTGTACCCTGCTTTTTTTAATAATTGTATTATAATTAAAATGTTTAAATGTTTTTATCAAAATTTTTTAATTATAGAGTGGTTGTGAGTTAACTTTTTTTATTATATTTAAATGATAAAAAAAACGACTGATGTGAATATAAAATAAGAGCTTGTAGATTAGTTTTTATTTTTGTTTTTATTATTATATGTCGATATTTATAGTAGGTAACTATATAATAATAAAAACAAAAATAAAATCTAATCTATTCTATTACTTTTATTTTTTATTCACATCAACAGTTTTTCACCAATTTTTTAAATAATTTTTATTTATAAACACTATAATTAGGCTAAACTCCAAAATGTTTTTTTGTTTCTAATAGTTTGGTCTTTTTCCTTCAAAAATCTTCCTCAATAAAATAAAACCAAGATAATATAATGTTTCAAAGTAAATAATAATATTTAAAAGTCGTTACGAAGTGCGATCTAATCTTACATTGCTTTGCAAGGGATGGAGCACAACAGCAGTCCTAGGCACTAAATGGTTTATTTAGTTTTAATATTTATATATATTTATTTTCCCTGTCGTCTTTTTTAAGATCTTTAAAAATCTTCATCAATAAAATTTAACCAGGAAAATATTATATTTTAAAATAAATAATAATATATAAATGTCATTACGAAGTGCGATCTAATCTTACATTGCTTTGCAAGGGCTGGAGCACAACAGCAGTCCTTAACATCCTCGTATAAAAAACAGGAACCAAGTGAAGCAGTATAAACTTTTTCTCCCACGTAGCAAATGTGTGGCACGAAAGGCAATCCTTCTACAAGAAAGAGAAGATTTGAGTCATATTAAAACTTCTTAAATTCAATTTATTATAAAAAAATAATATTTTTAAAATTTTATTTAAAAGTTAGATTAACTGAAAATAAAAATTAAAATTCAAATAAGTTTCACACTAATTATATGTCTACAAATAAAATCTGCGAGAGCTTAAAATTTTGTAATAATAGAATAAATAGTTTATTACCGCATTTGCAAAAACTACATTTATAATAAAGGCATTTTATTTTTAATGCACAAATTTAAAATTTAAATTATGTATTATGTATGCATTTCCACAGCATCGTTTGTAACCTTGAATAAGTTCAGTACATATACACACATATATATATATATATATGATATATTCATTCCAGTATCTTAATTGTTTGTATATGTTTCTTCCGCAATTGCATCCAAAAAGTAGGTATATAAGTAATACAATACCTACTGAACTAAGTTCTATTAAAAATTGTCGATGTAAAAAATTAGAAACGCAGATAAGTTTTGCTTAGATTGAAAGTACCTTTTATTCAGTTTCTATTCTATTCAGTTCAAAAACTTAATCGTTTCAAGAAAAAATGGAACAATATTCATAACTATATTCCCTTATATTTTCTACTATTATGGGGCC